TGGCCTCATAAGAGTTTGCCAGTACATCCCAGATGTATTGAATAAGAATCTACAGATTAACAAGATCCCCAGGTGAGGCCTATGTGTGCATAAGAATCGCCTGGGGATCTTATTAAAATGTAGATTATGATTCAATATACCTAGAATGGAAATGCAAATTGTGGGGGGCAGGGCAGAGCAGAGTAGACCAACTAGTTGGAGGCCCTGCAGCACTTCATGTTTTTAAAGTTCTCTTTCCTGACATGGGATCCTCGCTGATCCACATGGTCACAGAACAAGGGCCAGGTCACTATGTTGAAATTGGCATTATGCAAAAATAAAAGGCGAGGTTGTTTGTTTTGTTTTTTTAGACCACCATTTATGGTGTTTTTTTTAATATAATAACAGCAGCTAAGATGTACTGACAGTGATTTTTTTTAAGATAATAACAACAGCTAAGATGTGCTTGTTACTATGACGGGTCCACTTTTGGATCATTCTTCCATGAAGCAGGGGCTTATAGAAGCCAAAGATGGACATAGCTGGCTAGACGGGAGGAGCCAAGGCCTAACCACTTCACATTCCGCCAACAGTGAGTCAGAGCCTCCCTCAGGTCCTATTGGACTGGAAAGTGCCCAAGGTTTGAGGCAGCGTGGGGCCCAGTCTGGCCTTCTCTGAGACAACATTAAGCTTGTACACATTTCTTACGAACACCCTCTCCGGTGCTGCTTTCTCTCCTCTCTTCCCAACCCTCCGCCATTCTCAGCGGCAGGGCCTCAGGCTACCTCTGGCCCAGGGCGGCCTGTGCATACAGCGGCCAGAGCAAAGACCCGCCCCACACGTGGCATCTGGACATGGCACTCTGGCGGGCAAGAATGGGCAAGCAGGGGGAGAGCAGTGTGGCCTAGCTTCCCAAAGGCTCCCCAGAAACCCTCCCTTGAGGAAACCCCACAGCATGGGCCGCCATGCCCCCCACCTCCTTAGTACACAAAATAGTTGGATAGGAGAGTTTTCACCATTATCATATATTCCTATTTTTATAAATGAAAAATGCCAGATAGGTGAGGTTTAGGTGGTGAACAGCTGCCCTCAAACTGTGGGCCTCTGTGGGACAAACCACTTTCAGCTGGGAGCTATCTACATTCTTCCACTGCTGGCACTGGCACCGGTGACTCAGAAGCACTCAAGAGCAGAGGGGTGGCACCTGGTGCTCGCCCGTCGGCGCGGGCACTGCTCCAGCTGAGAGAATGCATCTGTGCTTCTCTTTGCCAGGGACTTAGTTGGTTAAACTTTTGGGGGTTGTATGTTTTGGGGATTTTTTGTTTTATGTTTTTTGTTTTGGGGATACTTTTATGTAAAAGTATCCTTGGTGAAACGAAAGGCATTCATCTGATTAAACCTCAGCCTTTTTAAACCATCTTGGGGACAACACAGGATGTACGCAGAAAGCACGTCTGTACACTGAAATCCGAAGGCTTTCTGGGGAAAGCATTTGTGTGACTGAGTTCTGAGCTGAGTTAGCCTTTTTTTGTTTTTGTTCTCGTTTTCCAAAATACACCATTTTCACTTGAAGGACTACTGGCAGGAAACAATGGTTATTTAGAACTAAATATCTGACAATGAATGCATCACTTTAAGGGAAACAACTGATATTTTTCACCAAGTCATTTGGGCTTTGAGGTTAAAAATGACCAGTGAATAACGTTACCAAAACCACACGAGGAAAAGTGCACAGCAGAACACTGGACTGTAATGACAGCAGATAAAATGATCGGTGCTGCGGCACCAAAGTCCACATGCAACCAGCTGTAAAGAACCCCCACTCAGCAGCTTTTAGTGCACAGTGCAGACTCTGGCAAAGAGTTGGCCTGCTCTGTCCCTGAGGGCTGCTGTGAGTCAGTACCAACTCAACAGCAGTGGGTATCCCCAATTATCTGAAAAGACAAAAAATATCCTGGTCTGACCCCAAGAAAGGTAGGTTTATTGTCCCAACCTGGCCAATGAACACATGTAGGATGAATTGAAGGGCGGAGAAATAAATGGCTCGGCGAGCCTCACCTTTCTTGTCTTTTGCTCTTTGATGATGGGGCCAGTGTGCAGCTGGCTGCCTTAGCTGATTCTCTGCCTCAACTTGCGAGCTACACTACCTGTGGGACACCTAACCCATGCACTATGTCACTGTAATTTGAGGTTCCTTCGAGACCTGCTTTGCCACGCTACTGGAGTATACATAGCTTGCGCTGGGGACTGCCGGATCCTGTCATCTGGCTGACTATTGGTGTCCTGCCTTGCTGTTTGCTGCCTGTGCCCGACAGCCTGACTTGCTCCACAGAGGACTACCCCACGGCCCTCAAGACTTGAAGAACTGCCAGTGTATTAGGTGTCTCATGGAAGTGAGTTGCACTGAGCCATTTGTACTGCTCTCCAGACTAATTAGCTGTTTATTTCGTATGTTGTATATATCTATCTATATAAATATACATAAAGTCATAAGTGTTCTGGCTGTGTTTCTCTAGAGAACCCTGACATACCCCAACCCCCACCCCCCTAAGGAGAAGCACGAAGGGAGTGCAGCAGGGCAGCAAGGGGAGCAAAGCAACGAAGTCCCCGAGGAGTCCTGAAAATAGACGTCAGACCCAGAGGGCAGGGCTCGGCACCTCATCACGTTCGATGGGAAAACAGACGTAAGGGTCAGCAGAAAGACCTGGAACCATTTATAGGCCTCCCCCCGACTTTTTTTCTTCTTCTTTTTCCCCCCATGTCTATCTATATAAGCTAGGCAAGATAAACAATCCAGAGGGGAAAACAACAGGACCGATGGTTCAGAGGAACAGGGGAGGGTGGAGGGGGAGGTGGAGGAGGTAGTAGCAAGGGAAGGGGGAGCCAACAAACCGAGGGACAAGGGAACAATAAGAGATCTAGAATCAATGGTGAGGAGGGTGTAAAATGCCTGGTGGGGTTTGATCAAGTGCAATGTAGCCGAGAGGAATTACTGAGAGCCAAACGAAGGTAGAACATGATGTGGGACAGGACGAAAGTAAAAGGAAATAGAAGAACCAGGAGACAAAAGAAATTTTATAGTGGTATAAATATAGGCATGTATATATGTAAATATATTACTATATAACAATATGGATATAGGTCTATGTACATATAATTATAAGTATCAAGGTAGCAGACAGACATTGGGCCTCTACTCAAGTCTTCCCTCAACGCAAGAACACTTTGTTCTAATAACCTGGCATTCTGTGATGCTCACCATCCAGAAGGCAAATCAGGATCGCTGAAAGCAAAATGGGCACATAAGCAAATGTGGTGAACAAAGCTGATGGTACCCAGCTATCAAAAGATATAGCATCTGGGGTCTTAAAGGCTTGAAGATAAACAAGCGGCCATCTAGCAGGGAAGCAACAAAGCCCATACCAGCCTGTGTGATCATGAAGTGTGGACGGAATCAGGTATCAGGCATCAGGAGACCTAAAACAATCATATCAATGTGAATTAAGTGGGGTTGGAGTGGAGAGCCAAAGCCGATCTCTAGACAATCAGACATCCCCTCACAGAAGGTCACAAGAAAGGGACAAGCCAGCCAGGGTACAGTATGGCACTGAGTAAGCACACAACATTCCTCTATTTCTTTTATGCTCCCCCACCACCACCACCACCACCACACGGAATCCAAGACAGATAAACCTCTCAGGAACAATGAGAGTAGCGATACCATGACAGCAGGGGGAAGGTGGGCAGGAAAAGGGAGAACTGATCTCAATGATCAGGGCATAACTCCCTTGCCCCCAAGGGGGCAGACAACAGAAATGTGGGTGAAGGGAGACAGCGGACAGTGTAAGATATAACAAAATCATAATTTGTAAATTATCAAGGGTTCATGAGGGAGGGGGAGCGAGGAGGGAGAGGAAAAAAGGAGGAGCTGATGCCAGGGGCTTAAGTGGAGAGCAAATGTTTTGAGAATGACGAGGGCAATGAATGTACAAATGTGCTTTACACAATTGATGTATGTATGGATTGTGATTAAGAGTTGTATGAGCCCCTAATAAAATGATTAAAAAAAATTATCAAGGGTTCATGAGGGAGAGGAGAGTGGGGAGGGAGGGGAAAAATGAGGAGCTGCTGATATTAAGGGTTCAAGTAGAAAGCAAATGTTTTGAGAATGATGATGGCAATGAATGTACAAATGTGCTTGACATAATGCATGTATGTATGGATTGTGATAAGAACTGTACGAGCCCCCAATAAAATGATTTTTAAAAAAATACTTCCACCTTAAAAACAAACAAAAAATACTTCCACCTTTTCTAACTACCGTATGTGAGGTTGCAATCTCTTCATAAACTACAAGCAAAATATCCTGTCCTAACAAACCCAAAGCAAAAGAGAGAAGCATTGGGTGTCCAAAACATTAAAGATATTAGCAAAGATGCAAAATAATGCCGTTCTTCTTGCTACCTTTCTATTTCAAAGCTCTGTTCACAAAAATACCTTATTTGATTGTATATGATAGGTTTAGTGCTGTTACTTTTAAATGAATAAATATTAAGAGTATAAAGGGGTCCCGAGATTTAAGTCTGCGAACCACTGCAACCTCATACTTTTATCTGGGAAACAGGCAGAATTGGTCTTATCGTACTTTTTACAAACAAATAGGTTGGGCAGTTTAGGTAACCAGCCCAAGATTCCCCAGCGGTGTTCACAACCCTGACACCATATGAGAAGCACCTGGGGCTTCTAAAAAGCTCCCACTAGTTACTGTGGGACCGCCCCCTCGCCCCAGCTTTTAAAAATATATCCCAGATGATCCTTATGTGCAGGTAGGGTTGAGAAGGAATGCCCTAGGAGAGATTAACATAATGAAGTTTTGCGTCTCCCAAACACCAATCTGGTGAAGTCTACAAAATACATTTTGTTTCATCCACATCACTTGAATTGATCTTGACCTCACATAAACAGCCCACAAAAAATTTAAAGAAAGAAAACTGTATTTGATTCGATTTAATTTTACTCACAGGACTCTTGCTTTGCCATTCCACGGGACAGTTGTAATCCTTCACAACCCACGGGTGGCTCAGGAGATGTTTCACAGAAATCCGCTTCTTGGGGTCCACCTAGTGGCCATGGAGAAGTAGTCAGATGAACACTTCAAGTACAGGGCCCGTGAACGAACACCTTTCCTCCAGAGAACACAAAATACATCAAAATAGATGTAAACTTTATCACCACAAAAATGCTGTTGAAGACCTTAAGATGGCCTTGAAATAAATTATTTTAAAAAGGCAATAGAAGCAAGAAAACTATAGCAACTAACAGGCTTTGAAGATAAATGTTTAACAAACATGAACTTCATTGGTATGGACATTATTCATGAAGTTCAATCTTTTGTATGATGTAATAGTCTTTTGCTGGAAAACCTATTCACGGAAAACCTTCACAAGGTAATATTCGAGCCGCCACAATGCAAGGCATTCATACTGAATATGCAATCTCTACCTCCGATGAGCTTACAATCACACAGAACAAGTTGAAAAGCACACCTTTCGTTTTCCATTTGTAATTTTCAAGTGTGAGGAGAGAAAAATTAATCAACAAAGATTAAGTTTGGGGGGAGTCTACAGGAAAAGGTATGGCGTTTTTCAATCTTATTATGGAGATTCAGTGGCCTGGCCCTACTTAATCAAGGTGGGTGAGCCAGAGGTAAGTTATGAATAAAAGGTGGAGAAGGCTTAATAATGGAAAAAGTGGAAGATTTTTTAATACAAAATAATGTGGGGGGGAAATGCACTAATAAGATACTCGGCGGCCCTTGTAGGGAGCGCAGTGCCGGCGCTGCGCTGGCCGCGAGGGGCCGATAAAAAAAAAAAAAAAAGATACTCATATTTTCAAAGTATTCCCTATCAATCTCATTTGATGCTCGGAATACTACACAGCAGTGAGGCCACTCTCAGAACCCTCCAATGTGAACCAGACCAGGTGGCTTGGCAATTGGTAGAATGGCCACCTAGACTCCAGCTCTCCCATCTTTCAGCCCCAGAGATTCAATTCGTCACACTTAAGTCAGTGGTTCTCAAAGTGTGGGCTTGGGACAAAGAATATTAGCATAACTGTAGTGCTCATTAGAAATGCAAAATTTCAGTCTCACTCCACCCACTCCAGAACCATCGAGTGGAGTCAGATACTGTGGGGGAGGGGAAGTGGGCAGGACAGGGGCAGCGATCTGTTTTAGCAAGTCCATCTAGTGATGCTAACACATACTACAATTTGGAAACCACTTCATTAGATTATGAGACCCACTACATTGTGCGTCAGCTCTTTGGAGAATTTCTTCAGTATCTACTCTACCCCATGAGTGGTGGCGGAAGTAAGAAAATGGAAGAGATCCCGCAACAGCTGGTTGATAGAAAACAGACAATACTCAAGAGAAAAATAAGCAAAACCATGTCAGAAAAGGTAGATGGTAGAGGTTTTCAAAAATGAAAGAAACGATTTGAGTTTGCAGGATAACTAAGGAAGGACTGAGCAGAGGATATTTGGAGAGAGCGCGCCGAGAGAGAGAGCGCGTGCGTGCGTGCGTGCGTGCGTGCGTGCGTGATGTGGTCGCATCGGTTCTGACTTACAGCGACCCAGTGGACAACGGGGCAAAACATCACTCTGTCCTGCGCCATCTGCACAATTGTTCTTATGTTTGAGGCCACTCTTGCAGCCACTGTGTCGACCCATCTCTTTGAGGGTCTTCCTCATTTTCGCTGCCCTTCTCCTTTACCGAGCATGATGTCCTTCTCCAGCGACTGGTCTCTCCTGATGTCCGAAGTTTGTGAGGTGAAGTCTCCCTATCTCCCCTTCTCTGGAGCATTCTGCCAACATAGATCTACTTGGTCTTTTGGCAGTCTGTGATATATTCAAAATTCTTCACCAGTACCAGAATTCAAACGCATCATTTCTTCTTCACATCTTCCCTATTCAATGTCCAACTTTCACATGAAAAACCATGGCTCAGGGCTGGTGCACTTTAGTCCTTAAAGTGTTATCCTTGCTGATCAATACTTTAAAGCAGTGGTTCTCAACCTTCCTCATGCCGCGACCCTTTCATACAGTTCCTCGTGTTGAGGAGACCCCCCCCCCAACCATAACATTATTTCCGCTGCTACTTCATCACTGTCATTTTGCTACTATTAT